GGAGGAGATTAAAACAGTGTTTATCAGGTACCTCTGTAATGAGAAACACAGTGCCTTCTTGTTTTGATGTGGTGAGGAGGTACATGTTAATAAATTTTAATTGATGAGGAAGAAGAAGAATAAGAGAAAAGCTCACCAATGCAGTCACAACTCAGTTTGGTTTGATTGCATCTGACAGGCACTTGAACATTAAGTGAAAGAATGTTACCTGTTTAATTCACTGCATTTCTTCAACCTTTTGTGGCAGAATATTGAAGCTTCCACATACTGTGATGAACAATGTAATGAAAAACAACACTAAATGAAACATGTTATGATTATAATCGATGACCTTAAAAATTGAGAAAAAAGTTAAATAGATAGTGTTAGGTGGGCAGGTAAAAAAAAGGATGAAGAAGTTCTCTCCCTGAGGAAAGCAATTTGAAAATTCTTATAAATTGTTTTACTGTACTTTTATTGATCTAGTGAGAGAACTCATACAAATAAACAATAAGAGATATACAGATTGTGATTGATGAGGGAAAAGAAGAACAAGGAAAAGCAAGCAAACTGAATTTTAACTTTGTTTTGATTGCATTTATTAATTTTATCAAAAAGTGGTAAGTTATGTAATTACACAGTGTTATCATATATTGCATTTCTCCAACCTTTTATGACAAAATATCAAATATTTTGAATACTGTAAAGCAATCTTATGGAAAACTATGAAAGATGGCATGATTTGAAGCAGTCTTTCACACTTAGAAAAAACTTCAGTGAAAGAGAAGCTGTTAGTGTCTTATAATTTCCTCAAATATGCACTGAATCAAAATATGGCATCCAGTTTTAATTACCATTGCTCTGGAATTACTAGCCTAGTCTTCATGTAGAAACACAAAAGGATTGTCACATGTGTGACAGTTAGGCTAGTAAATCCAGAACAGTAGCAATTCAAATTGGACACGATATTTTGATGCAGTGTGAGGTACATGTAAGAGTTTAAGTGTAAGACACTAGTGTAATTTACAACATGTTAAAAGTAAGTAGTGCTTTTTACACTTCCTGATTGGCTAGCTGGGATGAGATTAAAACAGTATTTACCAGGTACCTCTGTAATGAGAAGTGCAGTGCCTTCCTGTTTTGTTGCTGTGAGGAGATACATGTCAATAAGTTTTTGATGAGGAGGAAGAGGAAT